CCCCCCCCCCCCCCCCAGTAATTGGTTTCTAGACATAAAACATTTGTAAATTTGTTATAGTTTTTCATGTATAGAAAACTATACATAGCAAATGTCTATACATGTATAGAAAAAATGCATATTGAATTTTTCTCCTCTGCTGCCCCTGTTTGCCCCACTGCAGCAGTAGGAGAGGAGTCAAGTGGCCTGGCCTCTCTTTCTTGCTGCCTGATTAGCCTTGTACCCCTCCCTGCAGTGCCCACACCCCCTGGCACCTGCCCTCTACTGCATCCCCCTGCTGTTCACTCTCCCATCGTGGTTCCAGCTTCTGCACTTCTTGACCCTTGAACCAAAAATATGGGTGTTTTGGAAGAGGCGTTCAGACATGAATGTTAGTGGCCAAAATAAGTTCCACAGAACATTAGTAATATGGGGCGGTATCTTAAGTACTATATTTGTGCAGGCCTTTGGCACATAGCCATCTTTTAATATACCAAAGTTCTTTGTCACATGTTCATCAGTTTAGAAGCCTGTGGACAGGTCAAACTTGCAGGTGTCCAAAGTCCACAAATGTTCTTGGCATATAAACAGCCTAAGCTCTATCCAGTAGCACTAAGGTGTTTCTGAACTGGTGAAGTGGGACTGCGATAAGCATGCAGGAGGTAAGATTCTGAATGACAGCTGGCATGGCTTTGTTGCAGGAGGTCTTGCCTTACCAACCTCATCTGCTTCTATGACCAGGTAGCTTGACACCTGGACATAAGAGAGCAGGTTGACATTGTATACCTAGACTTCCAAAAGGCCTTTGATCTAGTATCCCACAGTAGTCTTGCGAGAAAATGGGAGGATTGTGGGCTTAACTCCAAGGCACTCAAGTGGGTGAGAAACTGGCTGCAGGATAGGATCCAGAGAGGTCATAGTGAACGGATGCGTGTCATTCTGGTGCGAAGTGGGCAGCAGTATCCTGCAGGGGTCAGTGCTCGATTCAGTACTTTTCAGCATCTTTATTAACGATTTAGATGTGGGAGTGAAGAGTTCACTGGCCAAGTTTGCGGACGACACCAAGTTATGGGGGACCGTGGTCACGCTTGAAGATAAGCTACAGTTACAGGTGGACCTAGACAGGCTAGCAAGTTGGCCGGGTTGGAATCTGATGAAGTTCAACATCAAGAAATGCAAAGTGCTCCATCTTGGCTTGAGCAACCCCCAACACACTTACAGCCTTGGCAGCACCGAACTGACTAGCACCATGAATGAAAGGGATCTGGGGGTAATAATAGACCACAGTATGAATATGAGCTGGCAGTGTAGTGCTGTAGCCAGCAGGGCAAATAATACTCTGGCATGCATGAATGCATCTCCAGCAAAGCCATGGTGGTGATTCTTCCACTGTGCTTGGCACTGGTGAGACCACAGCTGGAGTACTGCGTTCAGTTCTGGGTACCACACTTTAACAAGAGTGTGGGCAAGTTTTGAGAGTTCAGAGAAGAGCCACCCGTATGATCAGAGTCTTAAAAGGCAAGCCATATGAGGAAAGGCTGAGGGATCTGGAACTCTTCAGCTTGAGGAAAAGAAGGCTGATAGGGGACCTGGTACCAGCTTACCGCTGCTCTGGGGCAGTACATCAAGGGCTCGGTGAGCAACTGTTCACCAGGGCACCCAAGGGGAAAACCAGGAGTAATGGTCACAACCTCCTGGAAAATCGATTCAGGCCCAACATTAGGAAAAACTTCTCCACAGCCAGGGTGTCCACACTGGAATAAACTCCCTCCAGAGGTACTGCAAGCACCTACCCTGGAAATTCTCAAGAAGAGACTGGACGGTCACTTCACTGGGGTTGCCTGACCCCCAGTTATCTTTCCTGCTTGGTGGAGGGGGCTGGACCCGATAATCTTTCAAGGTCCCTTCCGGCCTTACAATTTATGAAAGGCTTTCCCAGGTAAAAGACAATTTTAACCTTTTGGTGCAGTCCTTTACCAGTTACCAGAAATGCTATTTTTCCTCCATTAATTTGAACATTGTAATATCTCTGGAGGAGGATAATTAATACTCAGAAATAGACACATTCTTTAGCAAAATTTAAATTCACCAGCCATAAAATAGCAGGTTATTCAGTTACTTTTAAATATGCTAAAAGTGCTTCAACAACTATATACTGTCTGCAGAGCTCTGGTTCATGCCATCTTTGTCTGCTCCTTAGTTTGTTACCAGGTGGAGGGAGTCATTCTAATTGGTCCCGTTTTTAGTTTTGGCATGTGGTTTTGTGTTCGCATTAGGATAAAGCTGTAGCTGAGCCAGTGAGTCGTCTTTTGGAATCAACCCTGCGTAGCACGCACATGCCAAGTCGGATTGGAGCTCTCCATGGAATTCTTTACATTCTCGAGTGTGACCTGCTTGATGAGACAGCAAAGCAACTCATTCCAATTATCAGCGAGTATCTGCTTTCCAATCTGAGAGGGGTAGCACAGTAAGTGCTGTATATTTATAACTCTGCTGTGACTTAAGTCCAAAAACAAGTTTTGAGCTGTAGAATAATTGTCCAGAAATAACTGAGTAGACCACAATATTTCTATCAGTCCCACAACTTTTACAAGAGATTCCCTAAGTTTTCTGTGTTGAGAGCAGTACAGTGTGTTGCTGTTTCTGTTTCTGATGTCAGATACAAGTAGAGCATATGAGCAGTAGCAAAAAAAAGTGTTTAATTTGACAGTTTTAAAGTTTCAAAAGGATTGGTTTGTTTTTAAAGCGTAAGTGAATGTTCAGTGTTTGTTTGAGAGAGCTTGCTTGCCTCAATTTACAGGGTTTTTGTTTTTGTTTTTTTGAAGTATTAAGGGACACAGATTGAAAAAGTATTTTGTCCACAGAAGAGAACTTGTAATATTTGATTCCTTCCCTGCTGCCAGAATTAGCTTTGATTTGGAGAAGTCAAACCTCCCTTGAAGATGAGGAAGAAATCTAGTTGGTAGCTTAGTCTACTCAACTGGGACTTATTACTATTTCAAAGCCTGGCTTTCTTTTGATATCATAAAGAGTTTAATCTTTCCTAGGAGTACTGCAGAAACACCAGCAAAGAGTATTTGTCCTAAAACAACTGAGACAAAACTAGGTTCTGATTACAACTCTTAAACTTTTTCTTAGGAGTCGGGTGACACTGCACTTAAACAGTAACCATTTTTGGGGGCATATGGTGATTCTTTGAGAGTGATTTGCCAAGTAGTTTTAGTGTCAAATATTGCAGTATGATGATAAAAAAAAAAAAAATGTAGTCCATATAGAGCACTGGTGTTTTCTTACATTTTTAAGAGATTAATAGATATAACTCTTGGCTTTCTTGCTTATTTACAGTTGTGTGAGTGTCCATAACCAACAGCACATCTTGGTAATGTGTGCTGCAGCATTCTACTTGATAGAGAATTATCCACTAGATGTAGGGCCTGAGTTCTCTGCAGGAATAATACAGGTATGTAATGCTTTAGATCGCAGAAGGCAACTCAGACTCACTTTTATGATGGATTTTTATTGGAAAAACTATGAAAGTAGCGTGTACTTTAGAAGGAATTCAAGGCGTTGAAAGCAGCTATACCAGTTGCAGTTGTCTGTCTGTCCTGACATATTGGTGCTAGGATTCAAATAGGGTAACTTGTTTCTTAGATTTCTTTCTTGGTTATTTCAGATGTGCGCAGTTATGGTGTCTGGAAACGATGAATCTACTCCATCCATCATATACCATTGTGTCCTGAGAGGACTAGAACGACTCCTGCTTTCAGAGCAACTCTCTAGGCTGGATAGTGAATCTCTAGTTAAACTAAGTGTTGACAGAGTGAATGTACACAGCCCCCACCGAGCAATGGCAGCACTGGGGTTAATGCTGACCTGCATGTATACAGGTTTGGATATTATTAAATTTTGTCCCCTGTAAGTGTGTAAATGCATTGGTTCAGGAGGAGAAATCATCTGGCTCTTATAATGGATTTTTCAGAAAATCAACAAAACTTTACAGCTTTTTAAGAGAACTGAATTTCTCATTGTTTTTGTTGAAACGAGGCCAGTTTTGTTCATTACAACTGCATTTGTATAGCAAGCTCTTACAGGATATCTGGTTTCTTTGTAGGAAAGGAGAAAATTAGTCCAAGTCGTGCTACAGATGCAAATCCCACAGCCCCAGACAGTGAATCCGTTATTGTGGCTATGGAACGGGTATCTGTTCTTTTTGATAGGTAAGAATATAAAACCTTTACCATAAACAGGAAAGTACCTTTGTGGCCTGTTCTGTTTGCTGGTCAATGCTGTTCATGGCAATTACTTTTTAAAGTTGTTTTTTACTTGGCTGTTGGTCAAAATCATGATGCCAATCATATGCAGTAACACAGTAACTTATTTGGAGTTGTTTGGTCCAGCACAGATGTATAAGAATTGTAATGCAGAGAAACCAGTTTCTTGTTCACAACGATGAAGGTTTCTGCTGCATAAAATGTGCCTTTTTGTGTATGGTGACAAAATATTTGAAAGATCGTCATCACAAAGTACCATAGTACTTTTATTCTTTGTGCTGATGATGATAATAATAATGCCATTTCTCCAGCCTTTAAAGGCATTAGGACACCTTAGATGCAAACCCTCACTTTTTCTAGAGGGAGCAACTAGTGTCAGCTTCTTGACATCCATCAACCTGGGTTTGTTGTGGGTAGGTCTCGCTTGACCAATCTCATTTCCTTTTATGACCAGGTCACCTATCACCTGGACAAGGGAGAGGAGATTGATGTCGTATATCTTGACTTTAAAAAAGCCTTTGATCTGGTATCCCATGATCACTTCTTGGCGAAACTAGCCAACTGCGGCCTCGGATCCACCACGAACTGCTGCCTGGGGAATTGGCTCCATGGTCAGACCCAGAGGGTGGTGGTTGATGGAAGTCAATAGTCTTGGTGCCCTGTGACAAGTGGGGTCCCTCAAGGCTCTGTCCTTGGACCCATATTGTTCACCGTCTTCTTTAATGATATGGACATTGGAGTCAGAAGCGGACTGGCCAAGTTTGCTAATGATGCCAAACTTTGGGGTAAAGCAGCCACACCAGGAGGGTGATCCAGGCTGACCTCAACAGGCTCAGGAAATGGGCAGATGAGAACCTGATGGTGTTTAACATAAAAAAAAATGCTAGGTTCTCCACCTTGGGAGGAAAAACCTGCAGCATTCTTATAGGCTCGGCAGTGCTACGCTGACTAGCACTACGGACGAAAGGGACTTGGGGATCATGATTGACCTCAAGATGAACATGAGCCTTCAATGTGATGCTGTGGCTAGTAAAGCGAGCAAAACACTGGCTTGCATCCATAGACGCTTCTCAAGCAAATCCTGGGACGTCTTTCTCCCCTTGTACTTGGCCTTGGTGAGGCCGGAGCTGGAGTACAGCGTCCAGTTTTGGGTTCCGCAATTCAAAAAGGATATGGAGAAGCTTGAGAGAGTCCAGAGAAGAGCCACGCACGTGATCAGAGGTCAGGAAAACAGACCTTATGATGAGAGGCTGAGAGCTATGGGACTCTTCAGCCTGGAGAAGTCCAGGCTCAGGTGCAATCTGATGGTCACCTGTAAGTTTATCAGGGGTGACCACCAGGATCTGGGGGAACATTTGTTCACCAGAGCGCCCCAAGGGACAACAAGGTCCAACGGTTATAAACTCCTGCAAGACCATTTCAGGCTGGACATAAGGAAGAATTTCTTTATTGTCCGAGCCCCCAAGGTCTGGAACAGCTTGCCATCGGAGGTGGTTCAAGCACCTACTTTGAATGCCTGCAAGAGAAAACTGGATGCTTATCTTGCTGGGATCCTATGACCCCATCTGACTTCCTGCCCCTGGGGCAGGGGGCTAGACTAGATGATCTTCCGAGGTCCCTTCCAGCCCTAAGGTCTGTTAAATCTATGAAACTTTGCAGAAACTTCCCTGCATATCCATATTCAATGCTGTCTCCGAAATTTGGTGAGACTTATATTGTCTCCTGCACAGTCATTGCAAAATGTGATCTTTCAGTCTCTCATCAATCATTAGTTTGTATTGAAAGTACTATTGAAGTTAATAATGGATGGATACATGTTCTTTTCTGGATGTCCTGCTCATATGGACAGTCTTTCTTCATGATACTGTCGTGCATCAGTCTAAACTTGATGGATCTGCTTCTACCTCCAGAATCTATAGTCCTGTCCATAAACAGGTGAATTCCAGTGACTTGCATAACTTCAGTCTTAAAAAATGTTGGATTGAAAAATCAAGGTCCCTATAAAGACAATGGGTTAGAAGCTTGAACTACTCGGTGTGGGGAGTGTTCCTAGTTATTGGGTTGGGTTTTTTTTTCTCCAACTTGAAAAGCAATGGCAACTTTCTTGAAGGATTGGAATGCCCGTATGGGTCAGTTGGTTACAGAAACAGAGGAAAATATATTTTTTTGTTTTGAAATGGGCTCTATAAAACTTCTCAACTGGACAACACTACCATAGCAACTTACACTGTAAGCTTGGAGGTAGGGAACACCTTGTTGTTTTTGGTTTTAACATAGATTACATGAAAATTTAAAAGGAAGGGCCAAAAGCAAGTTCCAAGCTAATCTCAGAATAGCTTTTTAGTTCACAATCAAACTTAACAGTTTTATAGTCCACTAACTAGAGGTGTTTTTTTCATCAGAACTACGTTAAAATTCTCAGCTTCTCAGTAGAGAAGACCCTATACCCAAATGCAGTCCTGTTGATATTCATGAGAACTTAGAAAATAAAGTTAGGAGTAGCCAGGTTTTCTGATAACATCGTATCAACCAAAGTGACCAGGGTACTTGTAGGAAGCCACTGTAGTTCACCATCTTTCCAAAGAGAGATCTTGTATATAACTTCCCTATCGTATCTAAAGTCAAAACCTCTAAAATTGACCATGCTGAATGTGAGGTCTTGGCTTAAGGAGTGCTGACAGATGTGGAGGGAGATGAGGGACAAAAAATACACTTTACTGAAAGAAGCAGCATGTTAGTTCAACCCAGCTCTGCAGTGTCTGTATAGATAGAGCACTTCATTGGGGCTTTTTGGTGCTTTTATCTAATAGCTGATTTTATCAGTTATTAGATAAGTGACAAAAAAGCCCCAGTAAAGTGCCTGGTCTTTACAGACATCGGGTAAGCCTGGTCCAGCTAACGCAGTGCTTCTGGGCACGTGCTGGGCTCAGTGTAGGGATACACAGAGTTTAAAGTACCAGGGGATTTTTTTTACATCTGTAAGCAGTCAAGGTGTTTTTCAGATTGGTTTTCCTCTAGAACTTTCTTACTGTGACTTTTATAGTCAGCTATTAAAAATATTGGTTTACTACCACAATCTCATGACTTAAGTGCCTAAATCCCATTGAAAATCAGTTTACATCAATAACTCTTAAGTGACTTTCAGGATCTCTTACTTTTTAAAAAAAGAGCCATGTGCCCTTTCATATCACCTTAACTAAAATTATTAGAATGTCAAGTAGATACAGGCTGACGATAGTCTAAGCAAATAGCAAATATAGTTTCTGTATGATATGGTCCCTGCTATGGGAAACTTGAACTTGTGTTCTAACCCAGCAGTCTCTAGGTGTGTTAGGTGCTGCAGTGTAGAGGCTAAGAGCATTCAATTATGCCTTAATTGTCCCCATTGCATTTGGTGCGATTTTATACCCCTAGTTTCAATTGGAATAGTTAGACCAGTGCTTGACAGCTTTCGGAAGTACCACGTGTAAGAGTTCATAGGTTTAGTTGTGGAACACATCCACTACAACATTCCTTTTCATATTTATTTTTCACACTTGGAGCTTGTTTTGAGATGCAAGTATAGTGTACTATTCTTAGGGTTTATGTGGCTTTTTTTTTGTAAGAGTTGCACCAGAAATTACACTAACTGTATTTAAAATGTAATGTCTTAGAACTTTGGACAAACTTCTTAATGCATTGTCCGTTTGGTAAGGCATTTATCCATCAGTCCTGAAAAACCTCCAGGTTTATCTGTATATTTAAAAAAAAAAAAAAAAAAAAAAATTTTTTTTTTTCCCCC